TCTCATTTTTTGGCTGATAGTGATGTGTAGGCCTAGTAGTTCTTTGTCTGTGGAGTCCAGTTTTTTGCGGGTTGTGTGGATTCTTTCCCGAAGGAGGGCATGTTGCAGGCAGTCGTAGATGTGGCTGGCCTGTGGGGAAATGATGGTGCTTTTTGTCCTGAGGAAGGCTGGTATGGTTTTTGTGTCTCAGCAGCGTAGTAGAAACGTTAAGGAACATAGCAGGTGTGCTCTTTTGCTTCGGAGTGTTTCCAGTCTCCGAGTCTGTCTGTTTCCTCCCCATAGAGGTGTTCAATGTATTCACAAAGGCCTTCACGGCCAGGATCTAATGGTTGTCGTGGGTTTTTTGGGCTCGTTGGCCATGTTCTGAAGGTTGTTCTTCCTAACGTTTTGCCAGTCTCTGTGGCTGGCATCTTCAGAGGACTCTACCCAGCCACAAGGAACAGGGACCACAACACACAAAAGACCAGCTAATGACACCCATCAGTCACAGTGACAGATAATCTCTCCTCCTTATCACAACAATACACCGACAACAAGACGCACTAATCACCCATATTCAGAAAAAGACAAAAGCCTATCTCATAGTCATAAATACTCCACTCCCAAGCCAAGTACACCAGAGCAGAGTGCTGTCCTCTGAAGATGCCGGCCACAGAGACTGGCGAAACGTTAGGAAGAAGAACCTTCAGAACACGGCCAAAGAGCCTGACAAACCCACAACAACCAATAAAATGATATATAATTATGATTACAAATGTAAGCACACACAGATATGTATATCCATCTATATAAAACCACTGTCTTTACACATCTCTATTATATATGCAGTATAGTTACAGCTGTGAACACATTTCCTAAGAAATCAGGTTACTCATTCTTTTGATTACTAGTCACATTATATGCTTTCAAAAAAATAGCTTGCCATTAAAAAATCCATTCAAACGTTTGTTGTAACCATAAATTATGATAACTTTAATCCAACTGAATTCCCAGTTAATAAAGAACACTGTGTAGATAAGAGGCAAGGCTTTGTAACTGATCAGTGATCTGTTTTTCTGATCAAAAGGATTTCCTATATATTAAATACAGAAGGTATCTAATGACCTACTCAACTGGCCATTCATGTTTTTTTCTCCCATGCAAACAGAGTGTGTTTCAATCTACATACAATGGACCCTTTTTCTAGATACCATATTCCAAAATAAGAAAGCAAATAATTCTCTTCCAGTATAGTCAACTGCCAGGAGGAAACAATATATAAAGCACCATCTGCAAACTCCCTGGGGAATTCCCACCTGTGATCAACTTAATTAGCACCATGGAGAAGCTTATGAACACAAATGCAGTTGTAATCATTTTGTGAA